ATAGACTGAATCAAATCGTAATCAACTTATTGTACTTTCAGGAATGTACTAATAAGCATTTAAAAGTGACTGCACATTCATAAGTAAAAAGTATTACGTGCGATTCCTAATCCACTCGAAAAACTGTAGGGGTTCATAACGTAGAAATTCATAATGCTTTCCTTTATTAATTTTATTGATAAGAAACGGTCATCGCGTATCTCAAGACGAAAATAATATGCATGCGCAGGTCGTCTGGCCGATCGGCATACACACACACACAATACAATTAATTAATAAAAATAAATGTATGTCGGTCTAGATACGGACGGTCGATTCACATTGATCGATAACGCCGATCACTAGAAAACCGCAATTAACATATGTTTTGTTGTAAGTTGATGGAAATAATAAGTTTTAATTTTTTTTCACTTTTAAATTCCGTACGTGTGTGTTAGTCCGCTGTTAAGTTTTTTTCTCATTATTATTGATTTTTTTTTTTTATTTTCCTCGTGATTTAAGAACAAAAAAAAAAAAAAAAAATAAATGAAATAAAAAAATGTTCGAGTGAAACAAAAAGGAAATTTTCAGTAATAGCAAAATCCTCACGACCGCACTCGCGTGTGTGCAACAGTATAATAGTTGTTATATTTTGTTTATTATCAAATAATTTTTCCTCGCTCGTTTGTTTGTTTGTTTTATTATTATTATATTTTTATTTTATTTTATAAGTGTTAAAAGTGTTATTATTATTATCATTATTACGTTTTTTTTTTTTTTTATCAATCGTTGAAGATCCGCGTGCGTTCGTTTCCGATCGGTGAGAGAAAAAAAAATACACGGCAGAATAATAAAAATAACACGCGCGCACGCTGTACAATTGCGCTCTACAGGACTTTGGTGGTAAGTTGTCGCCATCGTCATCGCCGCTGCAGTCGCGTCGGCCGTACACACCAGCACGCACGCATCTATTCCCATGTTTTTATCGCGCAAACGGAATTTCCTTGTATCCCGCTTAAATTCACGCGTGCGTGTGTGTGTGTATATTTTACGTTAATTTATATATATATATATACATATATTTATATATGTGTATTGCGCGTGTGTACAGCGATCGACGTACACAACGATAATGTGACGCGTTTCGATATTATATGCCATGTTATAAATTTAGCCCGACTAATGTGGAAAAATTTTGTTCGTGTTTCAGAATGGAATTGAGACGACCGAATTGCTGTAATTTGTTGAACAGTGTCAAAGGTAAGAGACGTTTTCACGTTAATATTATCATTACTTAGTTGTTAACTAATATTAGATATTTTTCCACGCTTGATTTCGAGTTTGGGTCCCTCTTGGTACAATAATAACCCTTAAGAGCGTGTTGTATTTAACGACTGCAAAAATGTTCTTTCGTAGGTAGGTAATTCTTATTGACCACGACGACGAATCTACCGACGGATCTCAACCCTCCCGGTGTGCATTCCACACAAGGTGTATTGTTGTAGATTTAGGGGGTAGTTTTTAGTCGTTGGCAGGTAAAAATCAGCTGGTCCTTTGTGCACGTTATGTACACGTCCTCCTCCTCCTATTAGGTGACGATGGAACAGCGCAGGGCCCTTGACACGTTACGAACAACACTCGTGGGGTTTTGCGCAGTTGGCCGTCATATTATTATATAGCCATGCCCTTGTATCGTCGTCGAGGAAGTAAATTCATGTAGATATTAATACCGTAGTTAGTAGTTATTACTTATTACTTATTAGTAACACGCGCTCACTAGCATACAATATCGTAGTCGGACGACGGCGATAGCGAGTACGTTTTTTTGTTTTAACTGTGACGGACGTCGGCACACATGATAAAAACAAAAAAATCAAAATTATATACACATTTAGTATAAAAAAAAAAAATAATAATCTGCAGAATTTCGATAAACCGTGTTTCAACAAATGAAAATATCATATTATGCGTTGTTTTTGAAATAGTATTAATCGTTTCTGTCGAATCCGTCGTTTTTTATTCACTTCCCCTCTCAAATTTTCAAACCGATGATGCAACACATCATAATCACTACGCGCGTTCTCTGATTTTTCGAGAACTCATCATAAGTACTTAATCTATGTCACCCGTCGACGTCGGGTGTTAATTTTTTTTTTTCCTCGAAAGACTGAATTCGATCAACAAAACTCGAAAAATTAAAAAAAAAACCATACACACGATCGCAACGCCTCCATTCCAGTCACCCACCCCACTCTTCTCCGCCGTAACCAAATCACTCTCCGGGTTATTAGTCGTGGAGCTGTACAGACGAGTGTGACCCAACCGAGGTCATTCTGACCAAGAGGAAAGCGTAAAGTCTCGTTGTTTCAAAATGTAGGGGGGGAGTACTATGTCGGTGGAGACCGCATGGTGTGGGCGTGAGACACGTGGTCATTGTCTGCCGGCGGTCTTGTTTGAGGGGCGCCGGTGCCGAACACAATAATATTAATTCTTTAACTTTTACTATATTAAATGCTCAACTCGGTCGTGTGTTGTAGAAATATAAAACTCGTGTACGACCGGTCGACAACCTTTGAGCGGCGCGCCGACGGTCGCGTGCGACCAGTTTTTCGTGGAGAACGCTCGCGCGCTTTTTTTTCTTTTGTCGTCATAGCGGCGGCGGCTACTGGCAGACGCGACAACATTGCCAGCCGACCGACCGACATGGCCGGCTTATGGACGGGGTAGGGGCAAGGCGGCGGCGGCGGCAACGATGACGACGGTCGACCGAGGTTCTTTGTTTCGGACGGATGCTCTCCTCTGCCCGCCGACCGTCGTCCCACACCAATTATTGTTATGGTCGACCGACGCGGAGAGGCTCTCTGCCGCCGCCGCTGCTGCTGCTGCCGTCGTCACGGTCCGTCTCTGCCGAAGATATACCTTTGTCCTTCCAACAGGTCGACTACCCCACGTTTATATCTATAACTATATCATATGTACATACCATACGCGCGGTACAGATAATAACGATATTATGTATACACCACGTTAAGTACTGGGTACTCCCACACACCCACACACATTAGTCGTGAGAAACCGGCGACGTCTTTAGGTATACGATCGTATTTTTCAAAAGGGAATGAAAATATACGAGATCCGTCCGTGACGGGAGAAGAGTATAGTGTAATAGCGGTAGTAGGGGGCGGACTTTTTAATGACCCGCCGCCGGCTCGGAGGTTAGGGTCATAGCGATGTTTTTGTTTTCAAGGACGACTAGACTTTCTCCCGCTGTTGAGTAATGCGCAGCAGACGATTTATACGCATACTATGTACATGTTATTATTATTTTGTGGGTAATGCATGTGTCATTTTGTAATCTTCTCTTTTCGGCTCATTTTCATTATTATTATATTTTATACCTCGACCCGACCGAATTTTAATCGAACAAACGTTTTGTATAGTCATATCGTACACCGATTTTTATTTCATCTGGTTTTTCAACCGAACCCATTTTTGAAACGTCAGCTTCACACACGACTGATGGTGATTTGGACGCAGTTTATTATCCTAGATATTTTCCCGAGAAATACGTTAAATCGACAGCGGTCCTAAAGCAATTTGGTTGTAATGATTCGTCGTCTTTACTCGTTACATTCGTTTAGCAAGCAATAACAACATATTACATTAGAGAGGTACGCTACTGTAGTGTAATAATAATAGTTAGTTGTAAATTGTAGAAGTAGTAGCAGCAATAATATTGGTTGTTGTACAATAAAGACGTATTGGATTTCTTATTCGAAACACAATCGTGTAATAATAATAACGAGCGCGTATTATTTCATCATATCCTTAACGACATTGTATAATATCATCGTCGACGTCGTCGTTCTTCGAGTTATGTACGTTATTATATTTATTTTTCTTTTAACTTTTTAAATAATCGTATCGTAAATAAAAAAAAAAAGGTAAATACACATTATTTTGTAAACTCCTTTACTCGAGGTGGCCCTGGTTACGGCCGTGTGCATGTGTAATAAATAGAGCGACAATTACGTGCCGGGGCCACATGTGTGCAATCCGTTGGGTATATTATTCTTTTTCGTGCCTGGAGGGGTGGTCTTAACTAAGAGAGTGACAGAGAGAGAGAAAAAAACCGAAAAATGAGAGAAAGATTACTACGATACAACGCGACGGTGAGTTAATCCAAACACATATTATATTCTTCTTTGGGCCAAAAACCAGCTGGTGCCAAGCGTTAGCTACCGAGTGATACACCCGTTTTCCTTCCTTTTTATTTATTTATTTTTATTTTACCCATAGCCATATTTATAGACGCATACGGTCGTCGTCGTCTTGTACATTTTATGCTCTGGCGGTGTAACACGTGGTCCGTTTGGTGTCGTGTGTTTACATTACAGTCCAAAACGCCGTTAATTGGACTCTTTTTATTTTTCCTCGTCGTGTTTTTCCCCTGGAATTCCTTTCCGTTATGTTTACTAAAATTCATAATAAAAATGCCGATGGTTTCCATGGCGTATAATAGCCGGCAGATTGCAGTGGTGGTTGTGCTGGCGTCGATGGGACGACAAGGGGGAGATTTAGAATGATTGCGATGACCGTATGCTCGACCTGTGTTGGTTGTGCGTTTCTGATCACTGTATTTATTATTATTTTCATTATTATCATTAACATTATTATACACGTACATAACGTCTGCAAGCGTTCGTGTGTTTGAATGATGGGGCATAGTGGCACTCACACAGCCACACGTATTATACACATAACATACACACGTGTTGTGTTCGACGGACTACGACGATGTCGTTTCTCTCCGTCTCGTTTTATTGATCCCCTTGCGTCGTCGTCGTCGTCGTCGCAGCAATATATAATAATAATATGCGTCGCGTCTGCACAGAGGACCTGGCTGGCGCGCGCGTTCCCAAAATACCCGAGGGGTTCTCAAAACCCGTTTTTGTTTACAGTCGTTTCATTTTCATTGTCATTGCATATACACGACGGTAAACATTCGAACTGTTGCTGCTGGCTCGATTTACGTTTTTTATTTTATATATTAAACAACCGATTTTTGAAAAAACTAATTTAAAAATTAAAACAAATGATGTTTAAGACTTCGTTTAAAATTTTTATTGGTATTCAAGAATAACAATAATAATATTATTTACACGATATTCTGTACAAACCTTTTACCCTCGTAACTCCCTAAATTTATTACTCGAAAAGTCGAAAACTAGTCGGCCACGCTGGTCTCTGATGCTGATCCAGATGATCGTCATTAAAACTGATTGGTAATAAACTCGGTCCAACGCTCGTAAATGAATCTTCTATGGTGTTCGAATTGTATATGCTCTGTTACAATAGCAGCAGCAATACCATCGTTTCGGTGAAATATCCATGGCACAAAATCGTAGTCAACATTTTTAATTATGTTGTTAGTTATACTTCTGAAAAGGTAATTTTTTATCTACGATATATACTGTGCTTAAAAATACATTTTTTTTTGTCGGAAATTCCACACATCACTCATGTTATCGTAATATTTCCATTCGATATTTTTGTTTTCTAGGAATTAATAGTTATTGTTTTAACAAATTTAATATTCGATCGAAAATGGATGTCTTATGTTATTGTACTTGCAATTATTAATAATTAACATTAAATATTATTAGCAACGAGTGTATGGTGAATTTTATGACGTCACGGATGACTCAAGATTGTTTTTTGAACGTTTAATCACATGGTCGCGTGTTTCCCACAAAAATTATGCACTCCCTGAGTTTTTGAATTTAAAAAAAAACCTTACACAACAATGTCTCGAACACTGCATGTTATCGCGATCCTCTGGTGGTAGTGCTATTACACGAACGCTTTTTCCTCCCGTCATCGACTTTATCTGTATAAAACCATCTAGCCCGTTACTTAGGATTCGGACGTTTGGTTTGACCAATTAATCTGGATTACCACCCGACCTGCCGCCTTCGGACACGTTAAAAGTTATCTCTCACGTCTACTTCTGTTGGGTTTATTTTGGTTATTTATATGTTTTTCCGGCAGGTGACACACACACACGCACACGAGGTATATAATAGAATATTATTGTAGTTATAGATAAGTTAAAAGTTTAGTGTTTCTAACCGTCATCGTTCAGTCGGGTTAAAAACTTTCGTGACGCGGCGTTTTAAATTTATGCTAATATATTAAAGTCCGCCGATGCACATCGCACATGTAATATTATCTAACCCCTCCGCCACCTCATCAGTCGT